GACAAGTCCAACTGGGTGAGATGACTGGAGAAAATCTTGGTAAGTTCTGAGCAACCATAATAACCAAAATTGTTATTAAAAGAAATTGTAAGTGAGTCTAAACGAGTCACGCAGTGCCTTAAAACAAAGACGACAGCTGTACAATCAGGAGGTGTGACATCACAACCAGACAAATCTATACACCCACTGAATCCCTCACGAGATTCAAGTTTTGACGCAGCTCTTACAGCAGCCTTTTTATTGTTTAACTCGTAAATGCATTTGAACATAAGTAATGTTAAATGTTTATTATTGATTGCTGAAGAATCGCGAAGTACGTCTTCAAAGTAAGTGGAGACTTCAAAAAAACGTTTTTGCAACAACCCTGCTACAAATTGTATTACAAGATGCCAGTTAGCATCTTTCGCTTTATTGCTAATAAGCTGAACAACTTTATTGAGGTCATTTGTCTTTGCAATTTCTCTGGCAGCAAGAAACTCTTGAAGTGTCAAATGAATAAAACAATACTGCGATGCCCGAGCAAATCCTAATGCAGGATTTTCTTTACTTGGCATGCAGTTGAGTAAACCACAGCTTTCCAATCCTTGAACCTCTTCTTTCTCAAAAACCAATCGTTTCTCTTCAAGTCCTTTTCTCGCTAGTTTTCCTAGTTTGGACAGTTTTTTCTCAATTTCAGGTGGAAATGAATCATTCGTATAGTCAGGGAGAAATGTTTGTTGTTTGTAGTCTGGACTTTGCTTGAACAAAAAGTGCCTTATTGCTCCATTGTAAATATCAGTGAGAGTGATGGGTAGAACTAAGTTATTTGACCTGCTGTTATTTCTTTCAATGAAATTGTATAACAAGGAACAGACAATCCAGCAATTGACTGGAATGTAACACAGATACAATAGGTTGACATTGCTTTCTATGTGATGGCAAATCTTGCTTTCTGTGGTTGCATTTTCTTTACAAAACTTGTGAATGTATGATTTGACTTTTTCTGGAGTAAAACCCAAAATTTCAACAACTCTTTCAAATCGCAACTCCTTGAAAATTGTCGGCCTGTCCACAGCATTCGGTCGTGAGGTTGTCAAAATTGTGGCTCCAGGAAGTAGCTTCTTTTGCAAAAGTTTTGCATAAAGAACAGTTGCAGGCATTTCATCACTCAATCTATGCAGCTTGCTGAATTCGGGCTGGTCTTTGATGAGGTTTTCATGATGCTTATATTCGTCTAAACCATCAAAGACAAACAAAATCGATTGAGGATTGTCATGAATATCTTGTAAAATATCTGGGTTTGTGTTCATGGAGTTTTCCGCCTCATTGAGAAATTGTTCAAGTGATATTTTGTTGAGACCTGGTGCACTCAAATTCCGAAAGCTAAATCGAAAAACATACTTGAATCGGCTCAATTTGTCTGTGCGCCAATCGCGAATGATTTTGGAGCACAGTGATGTCTTCCCGATGCCAGGACGACCAATGACAAGGATGTTATTGATGTTTTCTGAAGTGAAAAGCTCATTTAAGTTATTTATTGGAATAGAAGACTTAGGAGTTTTGAGATGGACGGCTAAGAGTTCATGTCTGTTCTTACTCATTTCCAAGTCATGCGTGACCCAACCAGGATGTATAACAAGATCAACATAAACATCGTCTATTGCTCTCCGATTGTCATTTTTCCACGGAATCGAAGGTAATAGAGGTTCAAGATACTCCTCTTGCAAACTGTCTCTTTGCGATAAAGTAGCGGCTCTGCTGCTGCAAATTTCATCATCGATACCGTCAATCGAGGACATTAGAGGTTCTACAAGATGCTCCTCCGGCAATCTGACCACTTGCGGTAAAGAAACGTTTCTATCGTTGCAAATACGTCCATCGTCATCAGTCTGATTTCCACCATGTGGTGCAGAAAGTCTTTTGTTGAAAATATGTCTTTGACAAAATTCAGTATCAGTCATAAAGTTCCTGTTAAGAGCAGCTCTATACAGAATATACAACGCTTCAAATAGCACAAGACATGCAAATAATATATTCATAATCCAAACTACCATTGCCCAAACAGTTTTCTCTTGGGCCAAAGAGTTTTGGCAATTTATATGAATTGACGATGAATTGGAATATGTTACATTCAAGTCAGCAACGCTTGTCTGTTTTGAATCCCATTTGCACTGAAATTCCGATGGAAATTTTGAAGTATAAAGTTCTGTTAACTGCAATAATGCAAAGACGACACAAAATACAAAGCGTACAAGTAACTGAAGCAAGTAACACTTGAAAATATACCAACTCCTGGTTGGAGGAGGTGGTTGGTTGTCTTGATTTGATGTACATTCTTGCTCCATCTGTTCCACTCGTGATTTCACACAACACCAAGAATAAATAATACAAACAACAACTAAACTAGCAAAGCTCATCAATGCAAATCCATACAGCGGTGGAGAAGCATTGTATTTCTGACTGTACTGGTTAATGCACTTCGTCTTCACGAAGTCCTTCTCAGATGGAATACCATGGCTGTCACAATGAAAGCGTCGTCCTTCAAGTTTTGCAATTTCGACAAAGACGCCGAACACTATAGCTCCAGCTAATGCATTGAATACAGCTACGATGTACCCATACGCGCTGAAACTTTTGGGCAGTAGACATTCTTTTACGCTCTCCATTTAAGTACAGTGAACTGTCGAGAGTTTGCAATGAAGTGAAGCAAATGACTGCTACACCCATATTATTCATAATTGTAATTCGACAGCATATCTTACTCCGCTTTCATTGGTCGATAGTCGACCAGGTGACGCTATAGTGCACGTGGAAGAGGATCCTACCCGCTGATTTTCGCTTGCTTCAGAAACTTTTGTCTTTGAATAATTAAAACAGATTAAATTATAAAGCTGCGGTTTGAATCTCGAGTATTGTGCTGTGTCATTTGCCCTTGTAAACTGGATGCTCCTCAAAACTTCATGGATACACTCGAATTCGTTTTCCTGAGACTATTTGTTTTTCGAAACATCCAGTTTCCGTTGCAACTATCACAACGACCTCAATTCAACTAATCAATTGTTTAAATAAAATATATACAGACTGAAGGATTATAGAAGTGTAGACAATGAAAACATCTTGCGAATAAAAGTAAAAAAATTAAAACATTTTAATAAGAACCAACAAACACTTTCCTTTTCTCACCCAATATGCTATTTTATACTTTATTCTACAATTATTTAAATCTTTTTTTTCGCTGAATAATGCATCATTTCAACTTTTGGAGGAATTTATTCATTAATTATTGGCAAAACAAATATGTCCAAATGCGGGACTCGTTTTGTGATCAAAGACTTTTGTCAAATGTTTAGTATTTAATGAAACAAAAATTCTCTAGAACATCTAGAACCATTTAAATATTTTAAAAAAATAATCTAGACAAAAGTTATTTTTATTGGTTTTGTTAAAAGTGTCATGGGATTTATTTCATGCGTGCAAACCGGCATGGACAATAATTCATTCAGTACTTGCTAGCGACCCCCCGTTTTTTTAACGTTTTTGGATACATCTTAGTTTTCCAAATGTTTTGAAAGGGGGACTATGGCATGGACATATTATTTCATTCAGTATCGTTAGGTACCCATCACACGATGTCGCTGAGTAGAGACCGTGTTATTTAACGTTTTGGATTACATTATTCGGGTTATTCTTAGTTGTCCAAATGTTTATAAACGGGACTATGACGACAATGAATTATAACTGAGAATGATCATAGCAACCCTGGCTACATTTGTATACTTTTCTTTCGATCTGGAAAGTGTCTGAAGTTTCCTATTTAACTTCTATGGATATAAACACACAATATATAGATTTATATAAGTGACATCACTCACAAATTTAGTTAGATTTAATCAATTTTCAATTTTGAGCTATGTTTGCAATATTCCCTAAGAGCCGCTTCGCGCAAAAACCAGACAAAACTGAAATTTTTTGGCAAGGCTCGAAAAATMAAATCTGTTCATATTTTGTATATTGGTAAGGTATRATTAGGTAACAATCGCTGTGTAATTGGTTTTTGAAAATATTTCATTTTTCGCAAGAAAATCGCGAATTCATGTCACATACTGGGCCTTTGCGTGACAGATGCTTGATTGCTAAAAATAGCTCTCAAAATAGCCAAACTTTATACCGAGTTCATGTAAAAACTAAAATAGCTATTTTAAAAGTTTAAATTGCAGCTTTCTCACTAACTCTTTGATATTTATTTCAGTGATTTTCAGACCATTTAATTAAAAGGAAAATTTTCTGGAACTCGAAATATTCGCATATGTATTTTTATATGCAAATTAGTACCTTTACAAAACGATCATTTTTTAAACGTGCAAGTATTTTGTTTGCAATAATATTTGGAGTGATTACTAAACAAGAGATGAGCTTTTCAAATACATAAAAATTAGTCTGGGCAAATCACTCTCAGTTGCATAGAAATGAATACTTCTGGCGATAATAATCCGTTGAAACACCAAATGTTTTAAACAACCGAAATTCATTTACATTGCCTAAAATGTTCAAAGAAAATATGCTTAACCCTTTTTATTTCAATAACATACGTTTAATGTTGATTAGATGTTTATATCCTTTGAAAATTGTTGGGTTAATACAACTGACAAAATATGTGTTTACGCTGATAATTTTGACTGGAATAAGTCATTCCTGCGCACCTGAAAGTGATTTGCCCAGACTAATTATTATTTTTTTGTACAGCTCATGCCTTGCTTAGTTATCACGCCGAATTTCATTGCAAACAAAATACTTGCACATAGAAAAAATAATCTTTTTTTCTAGGTGSTAATTTGCATATACAACTACATATGCAAACACTTMGAGTTCTAGAAAATTTTCTTTTKAATTAAATGCTCTGAAAATCAACGAAATAAATAAGAAAGAGTTACTTAKAAAGCCACAATTTAAATTTTTGAAATTACTATTTTACATTTCACACAAGCTCGGTAGAAAGTTTGGCTATTTCGAGTGCTATTTTTAGCCATCAAAAACATTTGTCACGCAAAGGCCCAGTATGTGACATTGTTTAGCGATTTTCTTGCGAAAAATGAAATATTTTCAAAAACCAATTACACAGCGATTGTTACCTAATCATACCTTATAAATATACAAAATATGAATAGATTTGATTTTTCGAGCCTTGCCAAGACATGTCTGATTTTTGCGCGAAGTGGCTCTTAAATACTCTGTTGCAAATTCATCAGTTCCGTCTAAATGTAAATCTTGTTGACATTAACTTTATGTTAATCAAAATTTCATATTGACCTTTAAATGTATTTTTAGCTTGAGCATATGCAGAAAGAGCTGGATTCTTTGAAGGCAGATTTGAAGACGTTAGAGGCCCAACAAAAACGTACACCAACGTAAGTAAAGGCGCTGTTACACTAGGCCGCACTCTCACAATATCCAACCGCAATCCACTTGTCTGCGAGCTCAGAAAATGTCAAAATTAGCTCAAGTAGAGGAGACTTAACAATATAACAATTTCGTTCGAAGTAATCGAAATAATCGAAGTCAGTGTGACCCCTACCCCGACTACAGAATCAAATATGGCGGCTGACAAACATTCATTTCAAAAACAGCAAATGGTTAATCCAAGTGTTTCTGTGCTCTGATGACAGTAACCTTTTCAGAGGAAAATAGAAGGAAGCTGTTTGTACCAAGTGTTTCTGTTGATCTTCTAGTGCTTATAATCTTCCATCAAGTTTATGCCGCAGGCTTTGGGTTTTTAAAATATGCTTTGCATATTTTTTACTCTCCAAATAATCTACCCTATGTACGGTGCTATTTAGCACTATTTGGTTAGCGATTATAGAGTGAAATAAAAAAAACCGTGAAAAAACCCCCGTGTTGATTAGCCGAACAGTAGAAAACAATTTTAAAGTAATTCACATAGTTCAGTAGATTTTAGGACTGTTTCAATGTACAATATATAATGTCCATCTTCCTTTTTAATTCTTACTTATARTATTCATCTATTCATCTTATAATAGTCATCTTGAATTCCATATCTATCTAGACCAAGAAAGCCCACACCAGAACCTAAACCTCCCACCCCRAAGCCCCAGACCCCAGTTGAAAAAGCCAAGAGCCCAACACCCAAAACACCAGAACCACCACCAAGCGACGACACCATAGCAGGAATGAAAGAACGATTAGACAAGCTTGAGGACTCTGTACTCGAGGTAAGACTATGAATACAGTCAACTCTCGCTATTACGAACACCTTCAGGACCGTGATTTAGTGTCCGCAGTAGCGAGAGTCCGTACCAACGGCAGTTACTTTCAGGCATTCTTTGTATTTTTTTCCCGGGGATTCAGAAATTCCTGTCCGTAATAGGTGGGTGTCCGTAATAGTTGGGTGTCCGTAAAGCGAGAGTTGACTGTATAGCTAAAATAAAGTTAAATCTCCCATAAGGGCAGATGACGCCCTGTTTTATATGCCAAAAAGAGTGAGTCCGTCCGTCCGTCTGCTCCGCAAGTCCATTTGGAACTCAGTGCGCGAGTCATTTTCCGAACATTTTTCGTTACCAAATTTATGAAATACATACCCCTTTGTGGTCTTGCAGACACCATGTTTGGCGATCATGATAGCCATTTATTCAAGGTCGGAGTTGACTTACTCAAAGTCTTGCACAACCTCTCTATGGATTTGCTGTGTTGTGATTCACATTTTTGGTTTACGAGCGCTTTCCGAGAAACTAGGGACTCGGATCGGAAACCACACCACAGGAATCCCAAGAAACGATAAAGGAAATGAAAAACGTGTTTCATTTACTAATGATTTCTTTATAACTCACATTTTCAGCAAAGTTCCCAGTACAGCAAGCTTGATAGTACTGTCGAGACATTACGAACTGTTATGACACAGAAAATTCTATCAGAAGCGCAAACGGTAAGTACTTTAGGTACATGGTTATAGTAGAATAGGCAATATGCAGCGACATGAATGTAAGGATCGCATGGTAATATGAGAAACTAGATATAAAAATAAAGGAAACTTCTAGTGCTAAGAAGGAGGTTATTCCGGGAGAAAAAGGATCTTGGAAATGAATTCGGAAAAAATAATTTCCGACATCGCTGGGATTCGAACCCACGTCTCTCGGATTTATTCTACCGATGATCTACCAGCTGATATACAAGTTCAGACTGGGAGCAGTACTTCTATATAATGCATCTTCTTACATTCATATCTTTATATTTTGATTACCACAACCTAAGATCTATTTCACTCCGACCTGCTCCCAGTCTGGCCTTGTAGCGCAGCTGGTAGAGCATCGAGGGTCGTGGGTTCGAATCCAAGCGAGGTCGGAAATGAATTTTTCCGAATTTATTTCCAAGGGTCTTTCTCCCGGAATAWCCTCCTTCTAAGCAATGTGCACCGACGCCATTTTGTGCAGCAAAGCATAATGGTATACTCCTTAGGAATTTTTGCTTTTTCTAAGCAAAAATAGAAGTAGTTTCTACAAAGAAATGTAAAAACGGCTCTAAGGGAGATATTTTAGGGTTTATAATAAATGTTTCGCTGCACATTGCCTATTGATCAGGCTTATTGATGAAGTTAGTATTCATAAAGTATAGTAATATTTGTAGTGCTAGTATTGATAGTGTATTTTCCTTTAATAGAGCGGATTTCGTATGAKTGGGAAACGGACGGTACTGTACTGTGACCGTAATCGTACTGTAACCAAATTCTAGTGCCCCATTGGTTCACCAAAATTGTGCAGGCCAGTTTCGGTAACTGTGCGGTAACGGTGTCCCACTCATACGAAATCCGCTCTAAGTATCACTGGAAAAAATCGCGCGCCATAAAGGTTGTAAATTTGATGGAAATATGATGTAAGTGTCCAAAATGATGTAAATTTGATGGAAATGATTTACATCAAATTTACATCATTTTGGACACTTACATCATATATACATCAAATTTACAACCTTTAAAGCGCGCGATTTTTTCCAGTGTATTAGGCTACCTCCATAATAGAGATCTCATTCAGCAGGGAGAACCTACCAAACAATTACAGGAAATTACCCATAATGCAACCGGTACAATGAAACTATTATTCGTTTTCACTATACGTCACAACGGCCATCTTGGAAGATTTTTCTGAATATCTATTTTTATTTTCTCCAACATGGCCACCGGTCTTTTATCTTTTGAATCTTATGAAATGGTTGTAAACGATCAATATGTCAGCGGTCAGAATTTCTTTTACGTAATGGTATTTTATATATATTTATATGATAAATAGTTTTATATTTAATATTGTTACACGTTATATCATGGGTAATCAATATTAGAGCGGATTTCGYATGAGTGGGAAACGGACGGTACTGTACTGTGACCGTAATCGTACTGTAACCAAATTCTAGTGCCCCATTGSTTCACCAAAATTGTGCRGGCCAGRTCCRGTAACTGTGCGGTAACCGTGCGGTAACGGTGTCCCACTCATACGAAATCCGCTCTAGAGGAGCTTGTGATTATTMAGTGCAGACGGTGTTTGAAAACAGACYCTTACACAGCTATTTCAGAAAACGTTGMGTACTGTGAACTCTAYAGTGCATTCCAAGAMCGCAATGCATTGTTGCAAATAAATAAACCTACGCTAGCTGCGTTTAGAAAACGGCAATTGTAAAGTTAATTGCTTCCCACTGAGGTTCTTGACTGTACGGAGCTGGAACAGTCACTATAAAACCACGAAAAGAAAAAAAAGAAAAAAAACACGAAAATTCCTTTTGAACGGTGATAAAACAATCAACGATGCATTTCGGTCTTGGAATACGATATCTTCATGATTCAACGATTTCTGAAATATCTGTATATTGCCTTCCTATGCTCCATTGAATCCTTTTTGAATCCTCCAAAAACTCTTTTATGTTATATTTACTGTGTTATATGGTATAGTTTACAACATGAGCGGCTGTGTTGTATGGGAATTACAATCTCGAGCCGCAGGCGAGAGATTGTAATTCCCATACAANGTACTTTCTTTTTTGTTTTCGCCGGTTTCTTACATCCTTTGTGTTCATTTTGGTCAGTTTCGTTGTGTTTGTTTTTATTTATTTTTCTCTTTTTTATGCCTTTATATTTATTTTGGATCACTAGTTTCGTTGCGTTTTATCAGTATTATTGTGTTTTGTTTATTTATTTATTTTTCCTTCGAATTTATATATTTTATGTTTGTTTCTGTTCGTACATTATGCCTGTCTCCTCACTCGGTGTGTCTCAGGATCAATTTGTTTGTCTTTTTGTCTGGCTCAACCTTTGCAAATGATGTTTGTACTGCACCTGAATGCATTTTAATTGCTAAAGAAAACTTCTTAAATTGCTGAGAAAAAAACACTAACACCAACCATGCTAAATGCTAAACTCAAAATTAACACTTATAGCATCGATGTAAAAGCACAGGGTATTCAAACAACAACCGATCAGTATAAAAATATAAATATGGTCAAAAAAAGCAGAGAATCCCTACATTAATCGGATCAATATTAAAACTTTGGAGGTGAAACAAAGTCTCTGAAGCATCATAAGATTTTAATAGTAAAATTAAAGTATCTTGTGAAATATTGAAAATAATTTTGGATTAGCTTGTATAATGTCTCTAGGGGAGTTTTTTCTCCTTCTCCCCCGACCCCCCTCCCCTTCAGTTGTCCCCAATCCACACCTTCCCTAGAGCTCTTATACAGGCTGATTTTGATGATCATTATTAAAATTCTCGGTTRTTATGTGTTAATTTCCCCAGCAGTCCTCATTCAGTTTACACGAGAGGACATAGAATATGTATAAAAATATACACCTTATTGCTAGAACGTTGTCCTATAAAGTCTTTAAGCAGTATAGGAATTGATTCGACAGCGTTTTATGGGTGTATATTGATGAATAATTAAAATGATTACATCATTATTGAATGACACATATCGTATTAACTATAAATATAAGTTTAGAAATATAAAGATAAATATTCTATAAGCTGAAATATTTTGAGATTTACAAAATAGTGTAATAATATTAATTCAACATTTAAAGCTTGTTTCGCAAAACCCTTGAGCAGGTCTCTGTGTATTAGAGCTTTAGCCTTACATATGATTGAAAGCGCACGTTATAAGACTGCTTCGTTCGCTTTCCTCACCCCACCGCTCCCCTCCTAACAAACTTCACCGTCTCTCGCATGTCGTAGATTCAGTATGTGAGTCGTCTATCATCGTGCGAGAGGTGATGTAAGGATCTGTCCTTCCCCTTTTCCCAAWACCTCGTAGAGATCTGCATGTGGGTTTAGTGTGACCACAAGTTAATAGTAATATATTTAAAAGARTTAACTATTCTTCATATTKTAGGATGTCAAATGATAATTTCAACTTTTACYCCTCCTTTGACACACAGAAAACACAATATTTGTTTGAGSAAAACTAGTTTCGTCTTATAAATTCGACCTTATCAATTCCTAAGGTTGMTAAGGTCGAATTTATAAGACGAAACTAGTTTTSCTCAAACAAATATTGTGTTTTCTGTGTGTCAAAGGAGGAGTAAAAGTTGAAATTATCATTTGACATCCTACAATATGAAGTATAGAAACTCCTTTAAGGTCCGAGTCCGACAAATTTCAAGAGAATTAACTATTGCATAGGCCTTTTGAATGAAACGGTCACATGGTACTAAATCCGCCATACTGAATGGCAAAAGATCAATGTAAACAATCTAAAAAACAAAAGGAATGCAGCCCGTCTAACYTGTTTATAACATCACAATAGGTATTTAGCCATCCCCAGCATGGTAGATTTGGTACCATGTGACCGTTTCATGCCAAAGACCTAATGTTAAACTTAAACATATTCATAACATAGGCTGTGAGGCTGTGTGTGAACTAAACTCCCATACTTTTCTACCCGGTTAATACGGCCAACCCGTTAATTCGGTCACTTTTCAGTGTCCCGAAACGGATTAACGGGGTTCTACTGTAATGTCATCAAAGGAAAATAAATCATGGAGTTTTTGTTCTGTTTCAGAGGAATAATCACATTCGAGRAGTAGAAAAAGATATCGAGAAGATCATCAAGCTCTACCTTCTTGACCATCGACATATCTTTGTGAAATCCAAAGACAGAAACATCCACCGTGCCGTACACGGGGAGGGGACGGGGATTATGAGATACGCGATGATTGACATCAATCGATGGGGAATCTATCAAGCSTACAAGATGATACAAGTGAAGAAAGCGTGGTTTAAGTTGCTGGAGATCAAGGAAGCGCGAGAAGCGGCGGAACCCGAGGATCCCGATCTTCCACCCCCTATACAACGACCGCCTACACCGGATAGCGATGATGATGACGATGACAAAGATGATAATGATGATGATGATGACGACGACGATGACGATGATGATAAAGACGATGACGACAATGATGAGGAAGACGATGACGACGACGACGATGATGATGATGATGACGATGATGATGACGACGATGACGATGATGACGACGATGACGAACCACCTAAAAAGAAGCCACCTTCAAAGAAAAAATAGAATACTAGACCAGTAATTACAGTAAAAAGAAATGGTGTACTGTTCCGAACGGTTGGAGGTTGGGGTTGGTTGTATGGACCTGCTGGGTGGAAGTAATGGGAGGGAGGGTTTGGAAATTGACAGAACAATTATTATCTTAGAGCCTTCTCGACCTTTCACTTTTTCCACCTCTTATCTCCTTTAGGGCTTCTTCACTGCATATAGACCCATATAGAAAAGACGAAAGAGCAAATCAGAGCATAAACCTGCTTAGGAAGCTATTAGTCAATAGAAACCTGTGTTGTGACAAAAAGATAATCGTGAGGGGAGGGGTGCACAGTCCTGCGTTGTTTCCACAGGGAGCCCAAAGAGGAAAAAAGAGAAAAGTTGTCTRCACAACATTTTTCAGTGTCGACGAAATCAAGTCGATCTGAAACAGCCGTTCAAKGGAGTAAATACTGACTGGTGAAGGCGAAGCCTGGCAGACCTTATATCTTTATCGCCTTGTCACTGAAGATGTAGTTTCACTTGAAAGCGGAAACTACTTTTAATTTTTAGTCAACTTTGGGGTCAAATTGGCGGGATTATAGAGCTTAAAGCAATATTGTAAATACACATTACGCTGCATATATTTAATGCGCTTTGTAAAAATAAAATGATAAGTTCACACAATATATTTTATCGGTTCGTAATAAATTAAGTTACCCGGAAGTTGAATAAGAGGGTCTTTGTCCCTTTTTTCATCCCATTTCCTCCCATCCTCTCTCCTGACACTCAGCTAAACAAGGCTATCCCCGTTGTAGTCTGTGGTAGTTGATAAACAACATCCTCGGGAACCCAGGCGTAATCCGTTCGCGTTGTTCGTTTCGCAAAACCAGAAATATTATTTCTTTTAGCACAGAAGATTACGGTAGGGTTCCAGACGATGATCAAGAGCGTAAAACACATGCGAAACAATAGAAACGCTGCGTCTAATCCATGATATAAACAGCTAAACGCTAGTTTGTTTTAGGCCATGGCAATGCACGGCAAATTACTGGAAATTTTTTGGGATAAAACTGATATTTTCACGTCCAGACGTATGAATTCCTGTTCGGCTATAGAGCGATATTCCGATAATCTTGCTTTAGTTTTAACTATTATCTTGGCTACCCTTGCACAGACGATGGAAAAGAAAGAAAGSCTAAATAGAATAAAAATTGTACTATATCAAATTATTTTATCAAAATGGAGCACAATATGTTATCGATATAGCAGTAACCCGAAACCCTCGTAACAAATATATGCCCCTTCAAAGTCATTACCTCTTTTAAACAACATTGGCTTTTGTTTTTCTACTCAAAGAAACATCTAAAAATACCAATTTTTTTCAGAAATATAACCGCAAGACCCTAATTCGTAAGCTAGTTGCTGTATAAAGATCATTCAGGGCTTGTCCATGTGGCAGAAACGGTTGCTGTTGTGAATATAGCGACGTGAAAATGCAGTGCATTATTCCCACATGGTCTGTTTGTACTACTTATTTAATGCCGGTCCCCTGAACGGAAGCCCAAAGGGAAATGGGTTTGAAAGACCTAAAAACTTAGGCCCGTTTCAAACAGCTGGACAAAGAACTTATAATTTACGCAC